GACTAGGATCCCAGTTATTTCTTTTAAGGAATCTAAGAGGAGGGAGGGTATATTTCAATGGTTGATCTGAGCAGCTGCCTATAATTCCTCTGCTCTGGAGTCGGCGCCTCTTTCTGTCCCTGCTCACCCCTAACCTCTGATCTTTGACCCTTGACCACACCCCTGCTGACCTCTAGGTCACTGGTCTCTGGGGCCTTTCTCTCTTTCCTGCCAGCAGGAAACTTCCCTCCCATCCTCAAGATCCACTTTCTTAGGGAGTTCTCACAACAGAGCGGATGGGCCCTTGTGGGCAGAGGTCAAGGACACCCAGTCGATATCATGAATTTGCATTTCATGGGGCCTCTGACAGTCTCACATGGTAGTCCAGTTAGAGCTGTGTCTAGAGACAGCACAGCAGTGCCAGCATCTCCAGGGGTCCAGCCACTCTCTCGAAGCGATGAGTCTCCTTCTCAGACATCACCCACCTCTACCTGGATGTTCCTCAAACATACCATGTCCCAAATTGAATTCATCTTCTCCTCTAAAACCAGCAACTAGGTCAATATTCTCTACTTCAGTGGTATACCATCATCCACCCATCATCTGAGCTAGAAATATTGACTCCTCCCTGCTTCCTGCCTGCTATATACAACCAAATCTAATGTTCTATTTTGTATCTACCAACCATTTCTTGAATCGCCCATCTTCATCAGCCCTCAATCACTTCCCCAGTTTTTATCTTCACTTGCTGGAAATGTTTCCCTATCTCTTCAGTTCTTGTCTCCCTGCCCACAATCTTCCCTCCACAGTGTGCCCAGAAGGATCAACCTAAGATGCAAATCCGATCATGTCATACTTTTACTTAAAACCCCTGAGTGCCTCCTCATCCCCTACAGGAGAAAGTCCTGACTCCTTAGGATGCCCCCAAAGTCCAGCACAGATCTGGCCCCTGCCTTCCTCCCCATCAGCAGCACCTGCCCCTTATGCTCCAGCCACACTGCTCTGCGGGTCACTCCCCACCCCTCTGTTCATGCATCCCCTCCTCGCTGGGATGATTCCCACACCCTTTCATCAGGCAAATTGCCGCTCATCCATTCCAGTGGTGTGCTGGTAGAGTTTAACAACTGGATCTCCAGGTTGAAAAAAGCCATGATCTGGAGCATTTGCTGATTTCTGTGGTGTAAACACTCCCACGATGGCCAATTTCAAGCTACCACTGAAGTCATTGAATGGCAGTTGGGAGGTGATGTGCACGACTGGTAAGACAGCTCCAGCACACCAGGGACCAAGGATCACCTCCTCCAGCAGTCTGGCCCCTGTCTCCCTCTGGGCTTTCATGACAGTGCGGGCATTCCCCTGTCCTGGCTTCCTGCCTTGTGTGGTAGTTAACTTCTCATGTGCCTCTCCCTTGCCTGGAGAGGGTGCACTCCGGAAGGCAGAGACCATGGTTACAGTGCACGTTTCTGCCTTCTCTGCAGCACACACTCAATCACCACTTCTGAATAAAGGAATATACCCATTCTCTGCACCCATCCCTGCTCTGGGTCATATTCTGTCATGACTCCCCTGAAGTCCAGGAGCATATGCACAGATGACAGGATGCTGATAGGCCATGACTTATACGGATGCCGAGTAAGGACCGAGAAACAAGACAGCAGATGAGGGCCGAGGGGGGAGTCGGGGAGGGGCCAAGGGAGGGGCAGGGGGGTGGGCCAATGGAGGGCTGGGGTTAGGGGGAAGGAGAAGAAGGGAGGGCCTGGGTGGGGGAGGGGGGGAGGGAGGGAGGAGGGGGAGGCAGGGCTGAGGGATGGCAGACAGGGGGCAGAGCAGGTTGCCTCAAGAGGCCTAATTCTAGGAGTTGAAAATTTAGAGGGAGAGTATGTCTTTCACTCAGACCCCCCAAAACCACTGCATAAGCACAGACTTGGCTTGATGCGGCTTTGCAAGGCACAGGAGAAAAGACTTGGTGATCTGAGTGAGTTACTTACCAGCAGGCTGTTGGATTGTTAAAGAGATTATGATGTTCACAGAGATGGAAGGCAAGGAGGGAGGGAGGGAGGGAGGAAAACATGAGGGAAGAAGAGAGGCAGCAGGCAGCAAACCTCCTCCAGTGCCTTCTGCATAATTGGATCTTGAGGATGTTATCCCAGAAGAATACAGTGTCTAAACTGAGTACCACTCACTTTCCAAACTTTAAATGACTTCAGGGACTAAAACAGTCCCAAAGAATAAACTGGGATTTAAATTACCTTCTAAGGATGATGGCTAGTCCCTCGGAGATTGTGCCCTGAGCGCACAAAGCAGGTGGATCAGAGAGGACGGCTGGACCCTTCACCTGTCACATTCTGAACCCTCCTGGCACCTCAGACTCAGGGTCACTATTTCTGATGTGTGTCCTCTTCCCAACCCTTAGGAAGTGGATCATTCTTGCTCATCATGTTTCTCATACAGGTAAGTCCAGGTTTTGATCATACCAAAATTTTCGTTGTCACAGCCACATTTCTTCCGTCAGACTTGATTAGAGTGGAACGGGGGCTTGAGAAGGGGAGATAGGAAGCCCTGCCATTGGTACGACGTTCTTCTCACGGGTCAAGTAGATCCATCAAACCGCAAGAGTCTCCAAGATCTCTGGCCTCGCCCGCTGTGTGCTGAGGGGAAAGGGCTTGCCCGGGGCCACGCAGCTCGTAGTCTTCCCCTGCAGCTTTCCCTCCTCGGTTAAAACTGGGGGCTCTTTCTCCTTCTGAAGTTACGAATCCCAAGTCCAGCAATAATAACAAGTCATGTTTCTGGTTGTGATGACACGGAGGGATAATTTTCTTCACATGATCCAGGTTCTTGGGAGAGACTGGAGGGCTGGCTGACACAGAATGACAACCCCGCCGGGGCTGCTCCAGCACACACACCGCAGGCAGCCATCTGTGCCAGGCACCTGAGCCATCCCTAAGCTGGGGGCGGTTCTCAGTACTGACCAGCCTTTGTAGCCAATTCCTGGATGGTACATTTGCTTCTAAGAGATGGATTGATTGTTTTAAGGCCCTGGGAGAAAAGGGGAGACTGATCCTTGTTTATCTTCATGCTGAAGCCAAGCTATTTCTGGATATTTGGGGGGGTGGTCTGGGGAGCAGGGATTCAAGTTGCAAAGGAGCAGATTTCAGCTCAATATCGAAGGGGAACTACTTTAAAGTGCAGTGAGCCTGGCTAGGAGGCTCATCACAGCACCGCACATCCCTCAGGGAGTCAGGTCCAGGCGGGGTCACCGTGAGAAGGGCAGGAAGGGGCTTTCTGCATTGGAAAGGGAGCGCATTGCCAAATAGACCCTAACGCCTATTGTCACTAGCATTAGAACGATTATAGGGATGGTAATGATGATGATGATGGTGGTGGTGATGTAATTACTTGTCTGTATAATTATTCTCCCCTCCTCCTTCCACCCCTCCTCCCCCACTCCGTTAGATTTTGAGTCAGGGGCTCTGCCCCTCATTGCTGTGTTCCTAGCACCTAGAATTATACCCATCCCAGAGCAGACGCTCAGTAAATGTCTGCCCAGCTGACCTGAATTATGACGGCACTGACTCGGTAACAGCTCTAATGCTGGGCACCAGCAGAGGAGCGGCTCAGAGCTCCCCAGGCAGGAAGCGCCCTGCACAACTGAGGAAGGCCTGATTATTGAAAGATAGGTCTCTGGGACGAGAATTTCAGATACAGAGCAAATGAAACTGAATGCCCAACACCCTCACGATTGCCAACAAGTTTTTTACTGGTCCAGAATAACTCCCAGTTCACGGAACACTTAGACGTCTGAGGAGAGATGCAAGCTTCCCAGCAGGTAGCGCTGGCAGAGCAGGACTGTGTGCAGAGTCTCAGAGAAGCCAGCGCCTCTGGTGCAGGCAGGTGGAGGGTGAAGAGGGGATATTCAGCCAGAACTCTCCTTCCACGTGGCCACGGTGCACAAACGGCGCACGAGCTGCCCCAATGTACCAAAGGATCACAGGCTGCTAAGACCTTGGCACTGCAGTCGGCCAATTCTCTCAGGAGGTGACGCCAGGGCACAGGAGCCCTTGGCTCCCACCTGCCCCAAGGACAGGGACACTCGAGTTCCTGTTGGTTTTCATTTATATTGTCTTGACTCCTGTGTGCCATATGCTTTTTTAATGTGTTCCAGATGTCCAATATTTGCGAAATTATTTGTAAAAATGATTTACAGACTGGGGTTATGTCACCTTCCTTCAGAGTGGATTTGTGTTTGCTTCTGTTAGATATTGGAGAGCACGGAAAATCTGAGACTGCCTCAATCCAATCTCAGGGCTTGAGAAGGCTTGAAGCTGAGCTCCAGCACCTGGAAATGCGTGTTTCCTCCTGATTCACTCTTATTCCTATGGCACTGCCTTTGGGGTCCCCTCCCAAAGGGAGGAGGTTTGGTTAGGGGCACCTTCATAATGGCCTTGCTGCCCACCTCCAGGCTGTCTGTAGTGCTTCTTGGACTCTCAGTGCCACCTCCAGAAGCTGCAAATGCCCCAGTGGAAACCTACCTTCAAATGCTGCTCTTACTTCTCCGAGTCCCTCTTATTCCCAGAATTGTGACCCTATGATTCCTCATTGTCTTATTACCTTGCAAATGCATTACACAAATGTTTTATATAGTTTGTCCAGTTTTTCTAATTGTCATCTGCAGGAGAGTTAGTCCAAATTAACTCGTTCATTCTTCCTGGAAGAAGTTAAATATTTTAAACAGTTTAGAACATGCAAGAATTCAAGGAATATTGAAAACATGACGCACAGAAACTGCTACAGGGCAAACTTCAGCTAATGCTACAAGATATATATGGGGAAAATGGGGCTACAAGAATAGGCTATAAGCACAATATATTTACCTAGAATCCCATAGATCGACCAAATCGTCAGAGCTGTTCTTCAGTTGCTCAGCAGGGTGGGGTTTTGCCCGGCTGCCCAGGCACTTTTGGAGTCAGAGAGTGTGGAGGTTGACCTCAGATAGCTCCTGCAGGTGACAGAGCAGATGCACCATGGATAGGTCCAATCAGACTTCCCCCATGGTGGGGTTCATTCTCCTGGGCCTCTCAGCCCACCCAGGGCTGGAGAAAATGTTCTTTGTGCTCATCCTGCTGATGTACCTGGTGGTCCTGCTGGGCAACGGGGTCCTCATGCTGGTGACCACCCTTGACTCCCACCTGCACACGCCAATGTACTTCTTCCTGGGGAACCTCTCCTTCCTGGACATCTGCTACACAACCTCCTCAGTCCCCCTCATTCTCAACAGCTTTCTGACCCCCAGGAAAACCATCTCCTTCTCAGGCTGTGCTGTGCAGATGTTTCTCTCTTTTGCCATGGGAGCCACAGAGTGTGTGCTCCTGAGCATGATGGCATTTGATCGCTATGTGGCCATCTGCAACCCCCTTAGATACCCCGTGATCATGAGCAAGGCTGTCTATGTGCCCATGGCCATCAGCTCATGGGCAGCTGGTCTCACCACCTCTATAGTTCAAACATCGCAGGCCATGAGGCTGCCGTTCTGTGGGGACAACATCATCAACCACTTCACCTGTGAGATCTTGGCTGTCCTGAAGTTGGCCTGTGCTGACATTTCCATCAATGTGATCAGCATGGTTGTGGCCAACGTGATCTTCCTTGCAATCCCAGTCCTGTTCATTTTTGTCTCCTACATGTTCATCATTGCTACCATCCTGTGGATCCCCTCAGCTGAGGGGAGGAAAAAGGCCTTCTCCACCTGCTCTGCCCACCTCACAGTCGTGGTCGTCTTCTATGGGACCATCCTCTTCATGTATGGGAAGCCTAAGGCCAAGGACCCGCTGGGGGCAGACAAACAGGACCTTTCAGACAAACTCATTTCCCTCTTCTATGGGGTGGTGACCCCCATGCTCAACCCCGTCATCTACAGCCTGAGGAACAAGGACGTGAAGGCTGCTATGAAGAAGCTGATACATCAGAAACACCTAACTGAGTGACTATCACAGATTCCCAGATTGCCAGAGTGTAAGACCTCTGAACTCCTCATTGAACTTGTGGGGAAATGGTAACCCAGGGGAGTCCTCGGGCTGTCAGTGGAAAGAGCCTTTTCATTTCTGGCACTGTTGTTTAGTTTCTTGGCTTCACACAGAACCACACTGTATCATATCATAGCTATATTTTGCTGCCCAAACCTTGAATCCTCTGATACCAGAATTTTATGGCTATCCAAAGAGTTACAGATGTGGTCAAAAGAGACAAACAAACAAACAGAAATGTTAGTGGTCCTGGGACCTTAGAGTATCTTGTTTTTCCCTGTGTAGAACTACTGTTTGCTCTGTTCTGCTTTGGTCTCATCCCAGAGACCTTTGCTCTACCAGATTAGGGATAAATTGGAAAATGTCATCTGTTTCAACACACAATAGTGATCCTTAGCACTGTGGCAGGACTTCCGCTCAAATCTTAGCATTAGAAACAGTGGGACTTATCTTGAGCAGCTGCTCTGTTTTGATCTAATGGACACTAAGAATCTCATCATTTATCATGTTCTCCTCTTTATTGTCGCTGCAGGGAAGTGCAGAGGCAGACGTGCCAGCCCACTGCAGCAGTCGTGGAGTGCTGCACGGCTGGGCACCTGCAGCTCCCAAGGTTCTGTCCATGAAACAAGCCTGGCATATGGATAGTAGTTACGTAGCACACACTCCAGGAATGTGCCGCATGGTGATGAAACCCCAAAAAAGATTGTCAGGAAGCAAATGCAAACATTATTCTCAAGCCCAGAACTAACAAGAGGCACAGTACCAGGGACTCCCTCCCATCTGTGGCTGCATAAACTGTCCACATAGCTGTGGCTGAAATCAAAGGTAGATTGAGAAATTAAGAAGTGAGATACCATAGAATTTGCTAGTTATGGTTATATCCATAGAGCCAAGCTCATGTCACATCCTAAAGATGTCATAGAGCTTGCCATATCAACATTCCCTTCTAAAGGGCACAGTCCCACCTTCAGCCCAGTGAGAATTTCAGTAATCCTGCAGGCCATCATTCACTGGACCAGAGCAACTGACCCCTGAGGAGTTAATCCATAGATTTGAAGGTAATGTGCCTGACTGAAGCAAAAGGATGAACTGGGCTAATTATATTTGTCTTTCAGGAATTTGGAATTGGGAAATAGAGAGACTGCATCAGTTTAGTGAGACCCAAATCAGAAATGATCCATCAAAGAATCCATGAGGTAGGGTTGAAGTTATGGTCGTGGAGTGGGAAGCAAAGCCATGAGTTAGCAGATGAAGCCCATTAGAAGAGAGAAAAGAAAGAAACAGATGTAGAAAGTGTTTTTCTTACTAATTGAGGAGATTCAGAAGGTAAATGCACAAACTCTGCTTCTGAGTTCCCTGGAGCTTCCTGCTATCAAGAACACTCTCCATCTCTACAATCCTTTAGCCTTGCTCCGCTAAGAATCCTGCTCTTTGATTTATATGATTCCACCAGTTGCTCCAAATGCATCTTTATTTAGAACCACCACAACAATAAAACTTTCCTCAAGCCAGCTTAGGTGGGTCTTATAACCAAAAGAACAAAACTAAACTAGATCGGGGTGAGGGTTCATTGAGAGGCAGCTGCTCATGACCAGTCTTGGCCCTAGGTTCAGAAACTAGCAGGCTTCTTGGTGGACCCCACTGGGGAGAACAGAGTTGATCCTGTTTCATCCCCATTAAGGCTGATGCAATATTCCTTTGAGGGTTAATTCAGGGGATGCTGAGTATTATAAGGAGGGGACTCTAAGTATTACAAGGAGGAAAAGACAGCAAGGGTCCATTAACCATCCCAAACTAAATTGCTACAACAACTGCTTCTATCTCTCTCCTAATATGGCAGGACAGCTGTTGAAAGAAGGTGAGATACGTTTGCCTTCTATCACACCACCAAGGCCACCATAGACTACACTGACTCATTTGCCATTCTTTGTTCCAGTAGAGGAAGTCCTATCCAAGACTGCATAGCCAAGACATCTGCCTTTCATTTCTTCCTCTAGCATTATATACTAGTGTTATGACTTTGGTCAAGCTCCTTCCCCTATCAGGGCCTCAGTTGCTTCATCTATCAACTGGGAGTAAATGTCCTTGTCCTTCTAGCAAGAAGTTATGTTTGGATGCTTCTTGAGAAAGGGTTACACTATGAAAATGAAAAGAATTTAAGACCCATTACCCATCAAACTGTCATTCTCTAACCCTCTGATTTGATGTGGCCCAAATATATGTCAGAGTAATCATATTGTCCCTTGGGAATCTGAGGCAAGAAACATGGGAAGAATTAACCATGTAGAAATATGAGCTGAAACTAAGGGATTATCATACATAGATAGTCCATATCCATGTGCTCACTAGAGACGCGATGCAACAGAAATTGTGAGTCAGAAGAAACTATAACTTAAAGAAAACATATGAAATGAGAAAAAGGGAAAGAAGTCAGTTGACAGAAAGAAGCAGATGTAGATGGGAAGCAACTCTGACTCAAATTAAAGGTGGAGCACTAAAGCAAACATCTCATTGACTGACATTGGTGAAAATTAATGCTTTTCACACTGCATCCATGCATATAAATCCCAGCATACACTCCCCTTTCCTCTCCTTATAAAGAGCACAGGTTCAATTTGAAATTACACCCAACAAGTAGAGAGACCTTGTTTTTACAAGACATGAAGCATTTCTGTGACTGATACTAGATAACATAAACTCTAGTTTCAGGTGTGTTCAGAAGGAAATAACGTCCAGTGCTGTTTGTGCAAAAGAAAATCGGCACCTTTTACACAACCATTCTAAGTCAGAAAGTCCTGGGTATTTTTGAGGGAATAAAGGCAGCTGATGATGATGTAAATGGAGGGAGCAACCTTGGGAGAAGTGACTTGTGTCAGGATTAGAACTGGGGGACATGTAAAGATAAAAATGGAGGGTCTATGGCTCTCCTCATCCCCAAGATATTTGCTTCTGGAGAATTAATGGTTTGGGTAACCAATCATAAGTTCTAAACAAATTTATCCTACTTACGTAGAACTCCTATTAGTGCAGAGTCATGAAAGAAAGCTGGGAAGAATCCATCACAGCTCCTGCCTTCCAAGGGCTGGGAAGAGGGACAGACACATAAGCACACCCACTGGCACATGGTGGCCCGTGGGATGTACTTGTAACACGGCAGACTAAGAAAAGAATACAGTGAAAAAGAAGTTCATTCCTCTTAGACATATGTAAATACAACCAGAGAAAAATACAACTCACCACTGATCCCTAGGAAGGCTTCATGGAAGAGTATGTGAGCTATTGAAGGAGAATGACCATAACAAGTGTTTCATAAACATCCACTTCACTTTGGGTGATCAATATCTGGTTCTTCATCACCTTGGTGCAATCAGAAGGACTTAAATTGAATCTCTGGCTAAGAGCAGGCAGTTGGTCAGTAAGTGCCTTCTTCTTTGTCCACTTGTGTAAGCCTGGAATGGTGAGAACCCCAAGCTGATCCTTCAGGTCAGAGGATGAGCCGCCCCTGTACACAATCTGTGTCTGTATGGTGCCTATTTCAGGACAGTTGTTCTCTCTTCTCTCAGTCCCCTATCATTGGAGGACCGAGCAAATAGGGTAGGGGGAAGTAACTCTAGACTTAGAATTTGGAGACATAATTTCTTCATTCTCTTCTGCTTTATGGTGTTTCTGACAGTTTGGGAGCTTTTAGGAAAGGAAGCAGTGAGTACTAGGAGCTAGAACAAGTCACCAAGATCAACTCATGTCATCCTCATTGTCTTCTCACACAGCATGTCAATGCTAAAAATGCTAAAAAAAAGTCATACATCTGCCTTCGGAGACATCCAACAGTCTTCCATGGTTGTCCTTGTGGACCAGATGAAGAACCAGCTCTACATGGTCACACAGTCAGAGTTATACTCCAAGAGAACTCCAAGCCTGATCCATCAGGTCAAAGGATAAGCCACTCCCGTACACCATCTGTGGCTGCGTGGTGCCCATTTTATTTTACTGCCCTCTATATCACACATAATATCCCAGACATTCAAAATACAATATCTTAAGTGACTGATTATAAAACAGTAAATTGTATAATTGTATCACATAATATTAATGAAAAACAAGAAAATAGAAAAACCAAGTTTTGGTTTTCTGAATAATACACTTTTTTTAAGTACACCAAATAAAATGGAGCCTAACAAAAACATCATATTGTATTATTCTTCATGCTTATATGACAGTTATTTCAATACAAATAAAAAATATACTACAGTCATAAACTAAATAGATGTAGTTAGCACTGTTTTTATGTCCTAAGAAAAATAAGTGTGACTGTAAGATGAAATAAGGACAAAAGCCATAGAAGTTGACAGAAAATGTTTGCATATATGTTTTAAATATTTTATTGTCAAGACTTTGGAATACAGCTGTTCCTAAGTTCTGTGAAAAATCAACTTTGCTTTTCTATATAAACTGATTTTCAAAAGAGGGATCATAGATGTGAAAATTGTATAAAGTGTGAATATTTAGAGCCTATTCAAATTGAAAAAATTAGAAGTTTGGAATCCACGTTACCTACCAATATAATTATATTACCTACAGTATCAGAAAAAATCTTGGTATTGAAAATGGCATCTCTTTTAAGAATGGCGTATATATGTATGTGCACATATGCGTGTCTGTGTGTGGTTTTATAATTGGAATGGGAAAAGATTAATAACAATGCATTGATCTATGACTGCCTGATTTAAGCTGCCTCCCACAATTTACTAACATAACTCAGTTATTTGCTACACACAGACTTTTATTCCAATCAGTCATTTCCCATGTCTTTTGTCTTCCTGCTGTGAAGGGAATACATGAGCAGAGCAGAATTTCTAGCAACCAAGTCTGATAAAATAGTGTCTCAAATGCTTCCAGTATTTTCTCTCCACAAAAACAGCCCACTGGCATTACACTGCATATTAGCCACTATTCTAACTGAG